ATGAGACCTGGACCAGCACCAGGGGCATTGAGGTCACTCTCCATCCAGGACTTTTCCCTCTCAAATTAAGAGGGCACAGGCACGGGGTAAGCCTGAGTCTCCTTTCTTCCCCAAATCACCCCTGATCATGGCTCCTCTTCTTCCCTGATTATCTACTGAGGCTTTGGGCCAAAACTGAGTGTGATTGTGAGGTGGTTAGCACCTGGTTATGGGTGGCCTATATAAAGAGGAGGCGCTCTCCCTGGCAGCCAGAGGTCAAGAGGGTACTGAGGACAGCTGTTCTCATCGGGCTGGGGCCTGGGCAGGAAGAAAGCCTTTGCTCTGGATTCCTGTTCTCACATTGGGCTGGCTGAGGAGTAGATAGGAGATGCCTAGGGCAAGAGGCAGCATGAAGAAGGACTTGGGGTTCCCTCTGGTGCCACAGGTGGGTTCTTAGCTAACCAGCTGGCCACCAACCCAACGCAGCCCAGACCATGGACTCAGATCACTAAGAGTCATCCTGGAGAGTCATCTAATTGTCCTTGGCTCCCCAAGCCCCTCCCAGTTCCCACCTGTCATTCTGCCAATAGGGTGGGTGGAGGTGTGTAGCGGGGGATGGTCTTAGGGCCATTGCATCACTGCTATAGCCTCAGACCCTTGCAGGTGAAAATCACTCAATTGCTTGTTACTAGGGAACAGGGTAATTGAGACAAGGTGAGGAAGAATAATGCAAAATGTGTTTTTCCCTTGCCCCCTGGCTTTCTTACCTCCCCAATATCATGTTTATAAAGTACATCGTTACTCTTGGGAATCGGTTATTGTTGTATGCAAGCCATGCCCCTACCCTCTGCTAGGAGTCCTTAGATCCAGTGTGCAAAATAACAAAGCAGCAGATTATTTCATAGAGACTAAAAAATTCTATGATTTTCTGTGCTGTAAGATGGTGACAGATTTGATATTTGACAGATAGGAACAAGGCTCAAAATTGTGGGGTCCTCCTAAATTTCATGGCTATGACCAGAGCCCCCAGTCCATCACTCTGCACCATTCCCTTGGATCCAGGACCAAAAGCCTAATTTCCAAATAGGATTTTTTTTTTACTTTTTTTTTTCCCTTAGAGAATACTCTGTGATGTTTTATGGCCCTTTGTCCATAAAAATGTGGTTGAACTGTGCCCATTGTCCTCTCAGAATTCCCCAGGACTCAGATATAGCCTCCATTAGCCAGCATATTATCTGGACAGCAACAAAAATTGTTAGCTACACTTAGGTTTATGAGTTTTTGGTTGGTTGGTTGGTTGGTTGGTTGGTTGGTTGGTTGGTTGGTTGATTGGTTGGTTTGGGGTTTTTTTGGTAGGGAAATAGTTTATAATTATTTACTCCCAATTTCCCCAACTTCCAAAATTTTTCTGTAGACCTCCACCATGATGACCTCCCCACATTGGGCTGACCCAGATTTCCCTTAAATTGGTGTCAGTTGTCCTGCGGTGGATTGCCTGGGATTGAATTCCATATGTTTATGGCCTGGTTACTTCACCCTTTTGCCTCAGTGTCCACATCTGTAAAACGAAGATGATAATAATGATATCTGTTTCATCAGTTGTCGGAGTACCAAGTGTGTCGATACATGTACAGTAGTTAATTCAGAGCCTGGCACACACTGAGAGCACCGGGTCTTAGCTAGTCCTTTGTCCCAGGCCTGGGGCCATACTTACAGATGATACGCAGCGAATTCTCTGAAATCTAGACATTTGTCTGCTGGTTTGAAGGGCGATTTGCACATTCAGAAGGGGCAATGGCCTCTGGTTGTCAGGGTGCCCTTCTTCTCGCTCCCGAGAGATGCCTATAAAATATAAAAACCCAATCCATTCATTTTTGTACCCATAAGTTCCATTTCCCAAGACACAGGGAACTGACCATCCTATTGGGTGTGGCGCAGCAGTTTGGCGCCTGCCTTTGGCCCGGGGTGCGATCCTGGAGACCTGGGATCGAATCCCACATCGGGCTCCCAGTGCATGGAGCCTGCTTCTCCCTCTGCCTATGTCTCTGCCCCCCCCCCGTGACTATCATAAATTTAAAAAAAAAGATGTTTTTTTAAAGATTTATTTATTTATTTGAGAGTGGGGGAGGGGCAGGGGAAGAAGAAGAGTCTCAAGTAGACGCCTTGCTGAGCGTGGAGCCCAGTGTGGGGCTCAATCTCATGACCCTGAGATCATGTCCTGAGTTGAAATCAAGAATCAGATGCTCAACTGACTGAGCCGCCACGCAGGTGCCCCTCATTCAGAACATTTATTAAGCACCAACTGTGTGCCAGGTACTGCTGAGGGTCCTGGCAGTAAACGAGCCCCAATAAACTCCACAATGCCGTCAGAACTTCTCATCAATCACCTCTCATTCAGTAAAGCACATTCTGAATGACCCCAAATGACCATAAGATTCTGAAGTGTCCTGTGAATCACTAAAAACGATGACATGATGGCTGGCTACTGTAGTTTTGGTGACATGCATATTTTGTTGCATTCTGATTTTTTTTTCCGGAAATACGTAGTCTCTTTCCATAAATACTGAATTAAACCAAATGGCCCGTTCCTAGAAGGCCTGGAGAAATAGACACCTTTACTCTACACAAGTTACTTGCACTTTCTGATGGTTTTACCTTGCTTGTAGGTTTTCCTTGCGTGTGTTTTTTGGTCTCTCACCAATTATTTCTTTCCTGACCTGCTGCGTTGGGACCTTCATTAGGGGAGGAACCTTCCTAAGCACACGCACATCCCACTGAGGACATTGCCTGCCCAACTGCTGGCCTGAGGCCGAGGGCCAGGGCAAGTTCAAGGGAGGAAGGGTCTGGTGCCTGGTGATACGTGCGAGCCCTCTCTCAGGGCCCCCCCACCCCCACACGGGTTTGTTTTTCTGATATTCAACAGAAAATCGTCAAGAGGACGACGTCCTAACACAGCTCTCGCCTGTGGTTCTCTCAGCTTCTCTGAAATGACCTGATGGGGTAAAAATCTCTCCCAATTTCCTCAAGCACTAATGGTCTCTGCTTCTGGGAGTCCTGGGCAAAAACTTAGGGTTTGGGGGTTGTTCCCCTTTCTTTGACTTGAAGGAATCTATCTGCTAGGGAGCCGCCGAGAGGCCAGGAGGGCCCATGCTTTGCCACCAGTTCTCATACACACACATACACACACACACACACACCTGCCCCATATGTACCCTCAGGGATAAAGGATTTCTTGCACAGAAGACACTAGGGGCGGAGCACATGAAGAAGAGGGGCAAGTCCAGGGTATGCTGCGGAGGCCGAGCTGGGCACCGGAAGGGCAAATTCACATATGGAAGAGGACACAAATGATAGGGAAAGAAATTTTATTTTCAAGCTTTTAAGAGAATAATACAAACAACAGAGAGTTTTAAAAAACCCTAAAAACTAGTTTAAAAAAGTACTTGACAGTGTCCCTTTCACACCCATGGATGGCGCGGGCCGTTGTGCATTGACAATGAGAAACTCTGCAGGTGCCCACCCGCCGTGGCCTCCCTGCCAGGGTCCCCAGGGTCCCCGCGCCCTGCTCGCTGCACGGGAGGGACCGGGGCGTGTAGCACGGAGGGATGACTGCCCAATACTTAGGGTCTTGCTCCACTCCCTGGGGGACACCCCGCCCACTGCCTCCGTCTGTTTGTCTGTCTGCTGCAGCAGCTCTCCCGGGAGACCCTTGGGTGGGAGGCGCTCAGCCTGGGGTGGGTCCTCGGGTCTCTGCTTGCACCAAAGCCCGAGAAGGCCTGACACTGAGCGCGCCCTGGCCTCGGGCAGGGTTGGGGCGCTGGGAGGTCACTCGTGGATGGACAGACAGCTCTGAAGGCTGCACCCCCTGCAGCCCGCGGCCCTGCTTGGGATACACACCCACCCCCCAAAATCTGTACTTTTCTCCAGTTGCGTGTGTGTTTCTTGTAAACATCTTCCAGCCAAACCACCATAAAATAAAGTAACAAGGGCACACAAAGACACCCATCTCCAAACCTAAGCCCCCTCGGAGCCCCTCCAAAATTGGGAGTTCTGAAAAGAAGCCGAAGTCACCCTGCGTCTGGGGAGCTCGCTCCAACACCGCCCCCGCCCCCCGCACGCGGCCCGGAGTCCCTAAGGCCACCCGAGCCAGGAAGCCTGCCCACCCCATGAGCCCGGGGGCCCACGCAGGTGCAGCCGGTCATCCTTGCTGGGCCCCCACCCATCCCTCTCCCTCCCCACCACTGCCCAACACAGCCCAAGGAGAAAGGAACCCAAACTGGAGGGGACACCAGGCAGGCCACGGGGCTTTCCCTTCGCACACCCTTTACACTTTTCCTCCCAGCTCCCGTGCACACGCCTGCACCACCACCACCAGCTGGCTGGCTTCGCCCGCCCCCGAGCCCCCCACGTCTCCCTGGGGGGTGTTGGGTGCTGGGCTCCTCTGGGATGTTTGTCCCCCACGTCTCCCCAGGGGGTATTGGGTGCTGGGTCCTTCTGGGATGTTTGTCCCCCACGTCTCTCCGGGGGGTGCTGGGTGCTGGGCCCCTCTAGGATGTTTGTGCCCCCACATCTCCCCGGGGGGTGCTGGGTGCTGGGTCTTTCTGGGATGCTTGTGCTCCCACGTCTCCCCGGGGGGTGTTGGGTGCTGGGCCCCTCTGGATGTTTGTCCCCCACGTCTCCTGGGGGGTGTTGGGTGCTGGGCCCCTCTGGGATGTTTGGCCCCACCGATTCGTTAGGTTCCAGCTGCGCTGCGCTTCCTTGTCGAGTTTGCACCGGAGTTGGTCGCTCTCGTCGAGGATTGGGGTCACCGATGGGAATCCTGAAACCGCTCTGGACACCGGCCTCGCTGGCTCCAGCTCTGACCCTGCCTCCAGGCCCCCTCCAGGCCCCCTCCAGGCCCACCACCCCCCGCCTGCCCTCCACTCCGGGGCCCCCCGGGGGGCCGCTGGCCTCCCCACACCTGCGCCCCAGGCGGTGCCCCTTCCCGGCCCAGCCTCCCCCCCGTGCACGGTCACGGCCTCGCTGCCGGTGGCTCGTCTCACACCGTCGTGACCCTCATGACGAGCTCCCGGCTTCCGCCCTGGGGGCTCCGCTGTTCATGAGGCCGTAGGTGACTCAAGATGTGCAGGATGGTGTAAGCACAGTGGTGGTCGGACAGGGGGCCTGGGGGGTGGCTGGCCGCCCGGGCAGGGCCTTCCTCGGCGCTGGGGGTGCCCACGGCCTCCTCTCCTGACGCCGGGGCGTTGGCCTGGGTGGACGAGGACGTCCGGGGGTTTGTCCTGCCTCCCGACTTTTGATCCTCCAGGTCTTTCGTCTTGTCATAGTTCAGCACTTTCCACTGCTGGTTGACGGCCTGCCACCGCTTAAAGATGCGGTACACGGAGGGTCCCTCGTGCACGATGAGGCCTGGGCAGCAGGGAGACAGAAAAGCAGAGGCCCAGTGAGAGCAGGAAGCCACTGCGGGAAACCAGTCTCCCTGTCCCGACACGCTGAGGTCGCCGCTGGGGCACCGTGGACGTGTGGTGGTTGCTTTGCTCCTTGCAAGCCTCCCTTTGAGCCCCGAGCCCCAGGTTCCCAGCCCTGTATTCCTTGAGCGTCTGCCTTTGACTCAAGGCCTGATCCCAGGGCCCAGGATCGAGTCCCATGTTGGGCTCCCTGCATGGAGCCTGCTTCTCCCTCTGCGCATGTCTCTGTCTCTCTGTCTCTCATGAATAAATAAACAAAATCTTTAAAAAAAAAAAAAAAGAAGAAGTAGGAGGTGGAAGGCCTCCATACCTAGTCCACGAAATGGTTGAGTGCCTACCTCTCCTCCACCCCTCCCATTTCTTGACAAAACCCCAAATCCTCCTCCACTGAGGCATAATAGACTCTCTCTCTACCATGCAGCCAGGGCGCCTGGCCCTTAGCAGAGGGTGAATGAAGCGTGTGCTTTCAAGCCTCCATGAGCGATACCCGTGGGCACCCTATACTTGCCAAACAATGCCTGGAATTCGACTGGTTAACTCTTTGCTACCCTACAAATAGCCCAGTGCTACTGAAATACACCCCTGGGAGAGAGAACTTCGGCGGGGTTATACTCCCCAGAAGCAGGGTCGAGTCAGAAAGAAGCCAGACAACCAGGCAGATAAAGGTTAACTGTGCGTCTGCTGTGGATGCGCCTGGCGCCAGGGCACGTGCAGGGAGCAGGACGGCCTGAGTCCTGCCTGCCGACAGCTTAGGTTCTAGTGGAGAACTAGACATTGTTAAATATGTTAATAATATTGTTAAATATGTTAATTAACATAGTGTGTTATGTTAAAAACATAACAGAGCAAACGGACTTACTTTAAGTAAGTTTAATAGACGGCTGTTTCATTTCCCCTAAGGAATCCTTTAGAAGTTTATTTCGTATCTGATAGTTATTTTTATTCCCCGATGGTTACATCTTAAATAGTTATAATACCCAAACCAGGAGTTTGATATTAGCATAGTGTGGGTGTAATTTTATCATGTATAGATTTGTGTAATCACAACTATAGTCAAGATAACAGAACTATTTCATCACCACTAAGTTCTCCATTGTGCTGTCCTTTTAAAATTAACGCTTAGCCTTCGATGGACACTGACCCCCCCACCTCCCCTCCAATCCCTAAACCTTGGCAATCACTAATCTATTCTCCATCTCTATAATTTTATCATTTTTAATGGAATCATACAGGTTATGACTTTGGGGGATTTATCCCCCCTCCCCCGCCACCCCCATATAACTTCCTTGAGATGCATTCATGTTTTTGCATGTAGGAATTCCTTTTTATTACTGTGTCACAGTCCATGGCATTTATGTACCACAGTTTGTGTAGCTATTTACCCATTGTAGGGCATCGTAGGGCATAATAAATAACATAACTTAACACAGCAGACACATAACCAAACCCTTAAGACTATCTCAGGTGCTGACACATGCTACGAGGAAGAGAAAATAGGGTTGAATAGGCACAGGCGGCAGACACCGAGGGTGGCGGGAAAGGCCCTCTGGAGGAGGAGATATTTACAGTGATATACAGATGATGAGAAGGAGGGGACCCTGCAAAGATTTAGAGAGAGAGCATGTCAGTGATAGGAGCTGCAAGTGCGAAGGCCGGGGGCGGGGAATGCACACAGGTCAGAAAGCGTGTCAGTGCGGCCAGGGTGTAGTGATGAGTGGCAAGTACAAAGAGAGATGGGGTGGGGGGAGGCCAATATGATAAGGCCTTATAGGCCATGGCAAGGGATTTTTATTTTATCCTGAGTGTAATGGGAAGCCACTGAAGGGTTTTAGTTGGGTGGGGGGGGTGTTGTGATCTGCTTCACCCTTCAGAACGTTCCTTCTGGCTCCTGTGGAACACTAAACCGATGAGGGAAAAAAATAGGAGCAGGAGACTAAGCAGGAAGTGATGTAGTGATTCGAGCAGGAAGGCCTGGTGGCCTAGACTAGGGTTATAGCGGGTTCCATGAGAAATCGTGTGGTCGGGACATATGTAGAGGTAGCTCACAGGCTTGCTGACAGGTAAGGCATGAGTCAAGAGAAAAATCTGGACAACTCATGAGCTTTGGGTGCTGCTGTCATTTACTAATGGTATGGACTTGTGTGGCGATGGTCATGACTGCATTAGCTTCCTATTGCTGCTACAACAAATGACCACACACTTAGTGGCTTAAAACAACAACACACCTGAATTCTCTTACAGTTTTGGAGACAGGAGTCTAAATTGAAGGTGTCAGAGTGCTGGTTCTTTCTGGTGGCTTTGAGAGGAGAATCCATATCCTTGCCTTTAAGCTTCTAAGTCACCTGCGGTCCCTGTCTCTTCCCTACATCACTCCAACCTCTTGTTCCAATGTCGCATCCCCTACTCTTCTGTCAGTGTCTCTCTCTGCCTCTTTCTTATAAGAACGCTTGTGGTTGCATTGAGTCCACCCAAATAATCCAGGATTCTCTTCCTATTTCAACATTCTTAAATTAGTCACATCTGCAAGTCTCTTTTGCCACACAAGATAATCTTAAAAATCTCTAGGGATTAGGACCTAGATGTCTTTGGGGGCCATTATTCAGCCTACCACAGTGGTTAATAGTTATATTTTGGTTATGGTAATTTAAGGTATCTGATAGAGATCTCACTGGAAGGTCCAGTTAGGCAGCTGGACATATGAGTCTGAGGTTAAGGAGGAGTCTAGCCTGGAGGTAGGAGCCATCAGTGTAGAGGTAGAATCTGAAGCCTTAAGAATGTTCCAGGTCTCCTGGGAAGAGAAGGTAGACAGGAGAAGAAGGCCAATGACAGATTTCTGGGCCTTCTCATATATAGAGGTTTGGTGGAGGTAGAGCCAGAAAATGAGGCTCTGAAGGAGCAGTGAGTAGTATAGAAGCAAGACCAGCCACATGTGTAGACCCAGAAGTCTGGAGAAGAAAGTGTTTCAAGAAACAAAGTGTGCTAACCCTCAAAGGGCAGGTCAGGTGGAATGAGGAGTGGCCATTGGCTTAGTAGGCACAGGCGGAGGGAGGATGATGTGAAAATCAGCTAGTTCTCCTCCAAGAGCCTCTTTCTCCTCCATGATGTCATCAGCTAAGATGGAAGGGATATGGGAGGAGGTGTTAAAGATTTGTGAAGAGAAGAAAAAGTGGGAAGTGATTATCTTGGAAAGTGGGAGACTGAATTTACAAATCAGCGAAGAATTGTCTGACAGTGGGACTCTTGGGTGGCTCAGCAGTTGAACATCTGCCTTTGGCTCAGGGTGGGGTCCCTGAGTCCCGGGATTGAGTCCCACATCAGTTTCCCTGCATGGAACCTGCTTCTCCCTCTGCCTGGGTCTCTGGCTCTCTCTGTGTGTCTGTCATGAATAAATAAATAAAATCTTTTAAAAAATTGTCTGATAGTGTTGAGTGTCCATTTAAGATTTGTGGCCACACATTTGACATGAGTTGTGTGGTTTCTCTCCATACCTTCACCTGCTTGCCAGATGCACCTATGGAGTGAGAAAGTTGAGTTTAATCAGTATAGACTTATTCCAGGCAAGTGAGATGGGCAAGAGAGGGCATGAGAATTATGGATGCTTCCAAGGGAGTGGTTATCACACTGGCCCACGGAAACTCGGCTGGGGAGGAGGCAAGCGATACACAAAAGGGATAAGGAAAAATGGAAAGTGATAGGGTCAATGCCAGTGGGTCTCTTAGAAGTTACAGAATTGTTGGAGTCTGTGAACTACAAGGATGGAGCTGGGGGGTGATGCTCAGAGAGTAAGATGTTTAAATCCAGACTCTGGAAGTGGTGTGGTTCTTGGTGATGATGAGGTCTAGCGAACGTCCCCTTGAGAAGAGGCGGGGGTGGGTTAAGGAAAAGACCTGTGGAGTGATGAGGTGGTAGCCAAGGAGTTGGACAGATTATCTGCATCAACCATCCTCAATGCCATCAGACTCCTTGTATAATAAATATACTTTAATATCCCCTTTCATATCCTGAAGTGAAATTCCTAAGATAATATAAGCTACTGTGGTTTCTTTTTTAAAAAAACTAAATGAATATAATGCCCTAAACAGATAATGCAAAGCAAAACACAGGGGAAGTCATTGATGACCAGACAATATAAATTTCAATACAAATTCTGGGGCACAAGTACATTAGAAAACAAAACAAAACCCTCAAAGATTTCCAAAGTGCATAGAGGAGTGTAGGGGATGGTAACACTCCTACTGAGAGCCACTGATCATAGAGATGCTGAAGACAGGAATGTGGGAGCCAGTGCATGAACCAGATGCCCCCTGGAATGAGAGGAGTGAGTGGGCAGCCAGCAGCCAAGAGCATCAAGAAGGGGAAAGGGGGTGCGGTCACATATGATGGCATGCACTTCAAAGGGGCTGGGGCTTCTGAAGGATGAAGGAAGAGAGGCGGTTTGGAAGTGGTAATGGGGAGCAAGGAGGATGTAGACCTCAACTCCAGGCCTCGTAGAATCCAGGAGAAAGAGCAGCTGCCACTTGAGCCAGCAAGAAACAGTGTCCTCGGAAGACAGCGAAAGGAACACTCACAGAAGAAGTAGCTAGTGATGGACCATGAGGTCCAGACGAAGGGCTGGGAAGATGGGGCCAGTGAAGGGAAACGCGAAGTAGGAAAGTGGTGACTGTCCATGTCGTGAGGGTGGTCTGGGAGGCTGGGCCCTGTGATGGGGGGTGCGAAGACTGGCCATTCACCCTGCAGCAACTGCCAGTGGAGAGGGGTGGCTGCTGGCCTGGCCTCTGGGGGGTGGGGCGGGGGATGAGCTGACTCACAGGAGCAAACAGCGATGAGTCACTCCAGCCTCCTCAATGTCAAGCAAAAGACACGGGATGGAAACATCTCAAAGCTTCTCCAACCTTGAACACACTGTGACTGTAGGAGACAAGATAGCCACCCACTGCCACT